TCTTTACAAATAACCCTGATCCTGATTAAAGAAAATTTTACTGCTAAAATCTTTTACTTGATATACAAAAGTGGTTAAATGATAAAAAAAAATCAGCTACTTCTTAAACTTTTATTTTACGTTTGTTATTTTGAATTAAATTTTAAAGGAGATCCCCATATTAGCAAAATTATTTTCAAATAAATGTCTTGATTCTGCCCTGCTTAATATAACTTCAAGATATTTATTTATTCTCTTATTAAAATTTTAAAATCCACTCTAATTTTCCAATCCTTTGTTTGACGGTAACAGAAAAAATCGTTTAAGTATTATGCACGCTTCAATTTTTATTTATTACTTACTGTGTGAGCTAAAAAAACAATTTATATAATTTATATGTCACAGAGCACAGTTGAAAATGTTGAAATGTTTCGAAAAAGCCAGAATGTCAATAACCATGGATGTGCGGCAATAATGGAAAATAGTCCGCGAGTGCCACAAATCTCTGCCTTAACATGTTTGGGCTGAAAAAAAATGGACAGAGCGATGGATGTGTTGGAACTCGCGTAGTCAGATCCGCTTCCACAATCCATCCATATCCGTCAAACGGCGATCGGCGCTTTTCCGATCTTGTGCAAACACACGTGAAATGCGAACGCGTGTTCGCCGCACTCTCACGAGGCGCGCGCGCGTGAGCTGCCAAAAAATAAAAAAATATTTTTCACTCGGCTGGCGGCGAGATAAAAGGGAAATAAAACAAAAAGCCAAATTTCTCGTGAAAAGCTTTTTGCCGGTGGCGCGCGTGCGACTTTGCGTTTTTGCCCGATTGCTTTCGAATCGGATCGGGGCCGAGGCGCACTCGAGCGCATTCGCAGCGAAGAATTTGGCAAGCGGCGGCGCGGGGGGAAAAAGTGGCTCGCAATTTGCTTACGCGGACATCTTTTGAATGGATTTTGATGTCTGCAGTCTCTTCATCCGTGATAATAAACCAGGCACCACGCGAAATAAGGGCGCTGCCGCCACAACTCGAGCAAAAAGTGGATTACTTGTGTCAGCACAACTCGCCGCTCGCTCTTGCAAAAACGTAGACGCACCACGACGGCCTTTTCTCTCTCGCACACATGCACGTACGCGGTTTTCTCAAGCATTTCGGAATATATGTGTAAAATAAATCAGGCCGACGGTGTTTTCCCGGTCGTGGGGCATTTAATTGAAAGTAGAAGAGAACGGACTGAAACATGTTCAATTTATTTTAAATTGAATTCAGATGAAATAAAAAAAGGCATTTAATTTGCTCATTTTTTTCCCATTCAAATTTATCATTGCATTTATATAACAACAATGTTATATTGCAGGAATAAAATACTGAAATAAGTCTCTATTCAAACACAATCAATTGAAGTAACTCAGAAGTAATTATTATATACACATTATGTACACAAAAAGATAAAATGCATTTGTTCTATCAGAAAGATGAAGTAAAATTAGAAAAAAAGATAGCTTCTCTAATGAAGAAAAAGAATGGATTCTATATAATTCAATTTTTATTTTTTGATGACTTAAATTTTAGTAGCAAAAATACTTAATGTTTATCAACGACTTATTCATATATATTTTCAAGTATCAGATTGATTAAAAATTGAGTTACGAGAAAAATTGAATGGAATTGATAAATTGTGCAGAATCCTAATTTTAAGTTTGAAAAACTTAATGCATTGTCTAAATATAAATTTTTTTTTATCAGTTTTAGAAGCAATACAGTTTTTTAAGCGGAGGCTCTATATATGTTAAATTTTGTAATAATAAAATAATTTCCAACTAACTGTGTCGGTGTCGGTGTAAACTATCCAAAATTTCGGCGTGTGGAAATTTCGCTCATTATTGTAGACGGTGGTAAAATTCAGCGCAGAATATCCGCCTAACGAATTTCCCCTAGAGCGCACACATTGTTACACATTGCGGAAGGGCCGTATTTATTCAAATAGCGCAAATCAACAGAACGGTTATGGCACATGGCTAGGTTCCGTGCTCTCTCCGCGCAACAGAAGCGAGCAAGGTACACACTCTTGCAAAATGTACACGTTACTGCAGCAGAGAGATTTGTTTTGCGCGCGCTGAAAATCCGCTCGGTCGGAGCCAACAAAGGCGAGGCTAATGAGAGGATCGAGTTGCTTGAGTCTTTAATCTGCCTCACGAGTTAATCAGAAAATCAAACACAAAACACGGAGGAGCTCAAATTTAATTTTGTATATGTGCGGCGGCACCATAGGGTTGATATTAATTGCGGCTATGTGTGCATCACGTACATGTATTTTACATGAGGGCAAGTGTACAAACCGGACGCGCATTTATCGGGCCTGCACAGCCCAGGGCGAGACCATTGGTCGGTCACTGAATTTAGTTGGGAAACGGAGAATTAAGCAGCGGACCGGAATTAATGCGGCGAGCGCACGGCCCTTCGGATTAAGCAAATGGCCCGGGCTTTATTAGCCCGGCCGCCGACCAGAGTTTTCGCTCTCGCAATTTCTATTTTTAATCGCTATATCAATATTCATGTCCTGCGGAACTTCGTTCGTGGAATATCATGTGCAGGATTAATTTATCCGCAGAACTATATGCAATTTTGCATTATTTGATTTGACCTAGGTGCGCACTATTTGCATTCTGAATTTATTGAGTTTTTAATTTTATGACTTTTAATTTAATCCTTGGTTAAAATCTACGTTTTGATAAAGAAGAGACAGTCGTGATAAAAAAAGGTTTTGTAATATAAATACACCGACGCAGCTAATATTATTTATATATGAATAACATATAATCATAATAATATTAATTTTGAAATTTTGCATCTTCATATAATATTATGATTCTTATTAGTAACAACTTTCATCATCCATTGAATTTGATAAATTCACTTTACCACTTATTTAGCTGTAATTAGTTTGCAGCGCTTAATATATATATATATTTTTAACCTTATATATTTACCTAAAAATATTACTTGAAATTTTTTTATATACTGGCTTACCAGGTTTCTCAACAAAATGATTTTATTTTTAAAATCTTAAACAATTTAATATTTAATAAAGAAGAAAACGAAGAAAATTATATAATTCCAATTTCTATTTAAATTTAGAATAAAAATTAAGTATTATTGTTTATTGTAAATCTATATTAGTTGATTTGAAATTACATATTGAAGCTTAATGAATTAAGCCATGTCAGATTTTAATTTGGAAAAAATTATTCGTTGATCATCTCCTCTGCAAGCCGTCCTATGTCATTAGAGACAAGGGAACCACAAAGGCTGCGACTGGCAAATCCGTCCAAACCAAAATCACTCGAAATCCGTCAACAAAAAGGGGCAAAAAAGTGAACAAATGCGCTTTGCCGTATTTCGAGCAAAAAAGTACAAGTTTTTCTGGCACACACTCGACGCACTAATGATCTCTGCAAAATTATAGCGCCAGCCAACCGAGAGGGATGAAATTAAATCCGAGAGATAAAATACATTCGGGCAGAAAAGCGGCCTCGCCGCTTTTGATGCCGGTTTTAATGCGTGTTGTTGTTGCACAGTTTTGGGACGCACACGTCACCAGCACGTAGCGAATAATCTTTGTTGGGTCCATTAGGGATGGCAGCAGTTGGAAAAGGAGCGGACGGTGCGCGGCAAACTTTCGGCGATTCAGAGGCGCTGCGTGAAAACGCGCCGAGCAAAGAAAGAAAACTAAAAGGAAGAAGAAGCCTTTTGCTATTCCGGTCGAAATGTGTGTACACCAAGTTCAAGAACGTTCTTTCGACAAACGACCGAGCATTTCAAACGCCTCTCACACGCAGTATCCTTCCCTTCTCGGAAATACGCAGCCTTGGTGGAAGAAAGGACGTGAAGCTAATAAAACGGACCTTCTGGACAAACGTCATTATTATTCATTTCCAGGTAAGAACGGCGCTGCCTGGTGGCTTCGTCCAGGTGCGTTTTACTCGCCGCCGGCAGTTTCGCCGTTTACTCTTGGGCCAGAGCAAAGCGGAGGAAATTTATGCGGGTAGCAAGACCAGCCCTTTGTGCAAATTCATGTGAAGAGGTGCCGCTCTACATTAAAGGGCTCCTTTAAAGCAACACCAGGCTTAGTTTCAAGGCAAAGTGTTCTGACACATCAATGGAACGATGTGAAAAAATAATGCATTGATTAATTCATGCACGGGAAGAATATAATAATAATTTTGACTTCACATATTTCTTTGATTTTTTTGTCTTCAACTAATATTCAATTAATTATCCTTGATTGCATGTAAAAGTGTTTTCTTTCATTTACAGATCATCCATTTGCACAATTTATTTTCCGTTTGCTATGACGAAACTATGATTTTCCTTGTTGAAACAGTTTTTATTGCAAGAGGAAAAACCTTTTTTATTTACCGATTTCTTCATCATGAGGAGCACCTCGAGTGGAAATTTATTCAAATTTGCCTTAATTTTCCAAAGAAAATATTGATCTTACAGTAATCTTTAATATATTCTACTCAATTTTAAATATTTACCTCAAAGTCGCTTCTTGTTTAACCAGAGAAAATCTGAATCTAACTTCTGTAGTGTATTTAGCTGGTGCTTTCATATGTGAATATGTTTTTTGAGAAAGATTCATAACATTTAAAGTTTAATCTCTAAACAATCAAAATTCTCACTGGTATACTCATAATGAAAACCTTGATTTACAACTTGAAAACGGAAACTTTTTTCTTTACTTTATCCGCCTTTTTTCGCAGATGATTTATTCACAGCAAAAAGAAAGGAAATAAATAATTCTCCCCGTTCGTCGTAAATCTTGATCCCGCTTTAAGCTCCACTCGCGGAAAGAGTTTTAGGTTTAAGCCACTAATTGCACGGATAAAAATGGCGAGCGCGCGTGCTTCGTTTTTACGGCGTTCCGAAAATAAGCTCGGCCGCGCGCTTTTATATATAAACGGCAAAAAAGATTAAGTTGAACAACGGCGCGGAGAGAGCGAAAAAGGGTCATACTTACTTTTGTGGCGCAGGAGATAGCCGCCCTTTACTTGCTTCACCATCGCTGCAAAACAAACAAGACAGAGAGCGTTGTAGCATTTTGTCACTGGATCAGTTAAAACAACAAAAATAAAATATAATAAGCTCAACTCCAATATTTGCCCAATTGCCATAGCGTGGATGAAAAAAAATACGTGTAAGGGCTTTTCGATATAAACGCCGACGAAAAGGAAGATCCTTTCATATCCCGCGCCAAAACAATACCATTTCTCTTCTAACGAGCTCCTTGTTTTTTTCTCAGAACTTTTCCCCCGGCCAATAAAAAAGCTGAAAAGGACACTCACAATGAAACTCAATACGTCGTTAATTAAATTTACGAAGACGATAATAATCCAGCAGTCGTTGCCGGTGTGGAATTCCAGAACTATTAGACTCATTTAATTAGAGATACTCGCCAAAAGACAAAGGCACCATCTCTACCCCTGTTCGCGAGTATTTTTGCATGGAGCTGCCAAGTCGGCTCATATTTCGCAGAAGACGTCACAAAGAGAGCTCGTCAAGTTGTCAAGCGTGTCGCGCATTTCATACTTTCTCATTTGCCGGCAGGTGAACTCGAGAGTTTGGGAAATTCGGAGAATCCGGTAACGAGACGTCGCGTTTTGTTTCATCAGAATTAATTACAGAGAAATTTGCATAAATTCCTTAATATTATAGTAGACCAATAATTCAGTGAAAATTTTATCGGATGCGCGAATTAATCCCTGCCTCGATTTGGAATTTAAAATAAGACAATCGCGTATAAAATTAATGTTATTGGGAAAGATGAAATGTAAATCTGGTGGTTCCAAAGTCAGGAATTTGTGTAATAAAATGAGGACATCGCTGGCAAATTTATGTATTTATTAACATTCCTCTCTGTCGTCGGACATAAATCTGCGGACGGAGATGTAAAAATAAAATATATTATGCATGCAGTGTTAGCTGTTTCTGTTGGCGGCGAAATGTTTTGTGTGTGGCCAAAATATAAAAATACATCTTCGACGTTTTGATCCCATTCCAATAACACCTCTAGCTCGCGTTTATGTGTTGACCAGGAGAGAGCGAAAGAGAGACAAGACAAATGAATCCGGAGGCTCTTTTATTATGCATGGCGTTCTGATTCAAAAAAGCTGTTCCCAGCGTACGTTGTTGTAAATTATTTGGCAGGCCATGATGCCGGGATTTATGCGGCCGTGCACGCAATTTCGCCTCTCTGGCTTTGCTGCCAGCAGCCCCCATAAAATGCGAGGCCAATATTTAAAGGAAAGAGAAAGAAAGAAAGAAAGGAGCTCTCTGTGGTACTGGATCACTAGATAGGTGTTTTTGCTCTCGGGAGTACATCTTTATATTTTTTCCCTATAAATTTATGTATATGTACCTGGTGCACGCGGTGTGCCGAGATTACTTTATTGATCGCGGCCTCCGCCACTTTTTGACGACGGCCTATTGAAAATTCCTGGGCTTCGCTTCGTCGCTCAAGGAACGATGATGAGAGGTGACGCCAACTGCGCTTCACGCATTGCCTTTATAATTAAGACGCCTTTCAGCACTTCCACGATTATTAACAAAAGCACGTGTTTACGTTGAGATGGAACATGGAGAACATTCTAATAATGCAAAGAGAAGAGGCAAATATATTCAATATTTAGTCCTGTTTTAGCAAAGTTCTCTCACTCTTTTAAGATAAAATCAATCAAAAATACTTTCTCCTTATTAGAGTGGAAACGGAGAAATCATTCAATTTATTTTAATTTAAAATCTGCAAAATTTTCTCAATGGAAAGGATACACAAATATTTTTAAGCAAACTGTATTTATAAAATATGAATGTTTACAATTAAGTTTTCTTTGCTCATCATCTTCATTCTCCTAAGATCTTAATGTGGCAAATGATTTCTTTGTCAAAAAGAATGAAAATTTTCTGCTTCTATACAATCCTGTTTCTAAGAAGAACAGGATTTGCCTTTAGAAACTTTAATGCACTTTCCTGCAATCAATTTTGATGGGATTCATGGAAGAAAGTAAAACTTAGGAATCGTAGCAATATCCTCTTATCAAAATTTGCATTTTATAATTATTAAAGAAGCTTCATCAAGATTGGGAAGTTAACTTCAGAGTTTGAAATTGCCTCCATCTAATTTTGAAAAAGATATCGCTTTTCAGCATCAAAGAAAGACTCGCGAGGCCGCCCGCAAATGGCGGCGAGAATGACGATGAAAGCAAACACCAGCAACTAAAAAACAATTCGGTTCCCACCGAGATAACGCATCCGCCCCAGGGAGAACAAAAGGCGGCTGCGGCTTTCTGCGAAGACCCTATCAAGCCTGCATCTTTTGCCAATTACAATTCCCAGCATAATTAAAGAGCGCTCCCGCATTTCGCTATAGCTGCAAAGCTCCCCTGCGCATTTCGAATAAACTTTTGCTCTCGTCGTCGGTCGAGGTGCGGCGGCCTACTTTCCTCCCCGCATTTTCTTGAGCTTGAAACCTGACCCTGCGCTAATCTGGAGGAGAGCTTGCCGCTCTGGAATCACATTCCGTGTTAAACTTCGCCGCAGTCTCATTATATTAATTAGCCGAGGCAGCACCATTAATAATCACATCATCTCCGCCAGCCGGCGTTGGGGACAGGAAATGCCGAAACAAGCATCTCAGAAAATTCGCACGAATTCAAGAGAGAAACTGCACGACAAACTGTCTCGGCCTCGTATTGCATAATCTTTGATCAAATGGGCACCAGGGCTTAACCTTTATATTCGAAGTCATTTTCAAATGATTCAAAATCAGAAAAAGACTTCTGAATTTTACACTGAGAAAAAGTTTTTTATATCAATTTGAAGGTACTGGCGATACCAAATTTCCAGTTGGCGAAGAGCATGTCCAAGTTTAGAAATACCTGGTGCCGCGGCTGGAACGATGATCAAATTGAGGACGGCTTGTTGCTGCTCTGACTTGGCTGGGTTTATTCAAGAAAACACACATTTTGGGACCCATTTCGGAACTGACAACTGACACTTACATCACACCTTTCACCTTGTCTCTTTGTAAACAATTTCTGACTCCGCCCTCTCATTTTCCCTCCCCCTTTTACGCAACAAAAAAGGGCGCGATTGCGTAATGCACTGATTAGCGGAAGGCAGAGCTTCCAATTTTTGCCGCTCGCGAAAAAATTTCATCTTTGAAAAAAAATATTATTGGAAAATTTGTTTAAATTTTATATGTACCCTAATTAAATTTAGCTCTCAATGCAATGATATAAATTGGAGCTCAAATTCTCAAAATTGTTCTCGGATATTTGAAATAATTAAGGTTTAAGGTTTTGAAAAAGTTCCATTTTTCACATTAATTATTAAATGCAAATTAAATTACAAACTTTTATATGATTTTGTAGAGGAAAGCATGAACTTTCTTTGCACAACCGTAATTTTTGTAGTAAAATCATTTCCACCCTTAATTATTTCAGCCGCGGCACCAGGTATGTCTGAATTTGAACACGATTTCGCTCAACGCCAATTGAGCGCCAGGAGGGTGCGCACCACCAAGAGCTTTAAATTGATGTAACTTTTTCTCGGTGTAAATATTATTATTATTATTTTTTTTATTATTATTAAAATCCACGATAACCTAAAAAATTAAATTGTAGCTCAGATTTCCTTTTGTTAAATGTGAATGGAAATTAAGTGAAAAATGGTTTTTTTTTTATAATAAAGTTCCTAAAATTTATAGTTCATGGTCTCAAGGAATTTAAATTTTAAATATTCAGTCAGCTGATTTTTAATGGGAAGGGAAATATTTTTTATGTGCGATATTATACTTTTATTCATCTCTCAGTCTGTCACCAAATAAATAAAAACTCATTGGATATTCCAAGCTTTGGAATTTTCTTTTTATGTTAATTTTATAAATTCATTTTAGTGACTATTAAAATTTCTTGATTTTATTTCAACAATTTTTAGTGAATTTGGGCATTTTCAAGCGCATTTGAAATACATAATCTAAGTTTTTGGCAATCCGAATTAATCTAATGGTCTGAGCATCGCTTGTTGCTAAAGTAGCCACTGAGAATTCCCAAACCAACAACACTCTTTGTGGTGATTTTTTGGCACAGAAACAACAGATCGATAACAATAACAAAAGGCGCCACCAAGGCCATCCGCTTAGCACAACATACCTGTGAGTTCGTTGACCCCAGATTTGGAATGCGCAATTCATCTATTTTAAAATACGATATTTAAATAAAAATGGAAAAAATACATAGAACAATAATAAGTAAGTAAAAAGTCCACTCCCTCAAAATAAGGTGTTTGGGACCTTATTTTTGGCAAAAATAGATTTAAAAATAAAAATCCATTTTCTTAATGTTTCTATAGAGAAATTTTGTACCAATAAATAAACACGAATAAATAACGAAAACGAATAAAAAACGATAGTTATAACTTTGATTTTAACTGTTTTTAGGCGAATGAGGCAATTCCTGATCAATACAATATTAAGGGGTCTATTATGGTTTTGAAAGCATTTTGCCGTCACTGGCAAAACATAATTAAGGAACGGTACCAATTTTGGCAAGATGAGAGGCGGACACTTTGATGGTGTGTGTATAGCTCCTCGCAAGGGCGCAGGGTGATGGATCGTGCGTGTAATCCTTCTTCTTCTTGTTCGCCGTGAAAAGGGCGTCTTGAGCCGCGCGTTTTGTGCTCGGGCGCGACACCTCCGGGCGTCGTGCTCCCTTTTAATTCTGCATTATGAACGAGGCGCGCGGCGAGATATTAAAATGAAAAATGGTCGAGGAGGCAACAAAGGCGCGCACAAGCAGCTCCTTGTGTGTCACACACGCTTTATCATCCGTCGCTCGCAAGAGCAAGTTTTTAGCTGCAGCGCCGATGTTTCTTCTGCACACGTTTTTGCATCCGCCTCGGTTAATTATGTCTGGCCCAAAGTTTATCACGACTCTATATACATGTGTATAAATCGACTCAAGGGTCTGAATTAACGAGCTTGCCATACTGCTCTCGCTGCCATATTGT